AACCTGCCAGACACACTTACAATTCATTAACTAAAAAGAGTAAAAACATCTCCCTCAGCATTTTACTGTACCTTGAACAATCCAAAGGCAAAATGGAGTATGATGGAAGCGGGGGGGGGTATAGGGTTAAACACTTAACATATGTGAGGCATAAAAACAGCTGTCCAACACATGGTGCAGTTTAAACTAGTTTCTCTTAAATAGATGCCTTATGTGGATGTACACAGTGTGTGAATAATTAACTCAAATGGGGGAGGATCAGGTGAGAACAGGGTGAGACAGAATATGTGTAGGGGTGTGGGTGTGCTAAAAAAAAGGTCCACAAATATATGACTTTTTGCACGTAACTTGTTGTGGAGGACAGACCCATTTAATTGTAGTAATTATGTCGAGGCAATCGTTTAAAGACAACAGTTTGTGCTCTGTGAGATAAACATAGCTGTAAATGGAATAAGAATTATAGCTACAGTGCTGCAGTGAGCTGGTGGATGGCTGGGCGTGTTAAGGAGGGAGAAGAGGAACCAAATGTATCATTAAACCTCAAAATTGTGTCTCTAATTCACACAGCACAGTGCCTGAGCAGGTACAAGATTTGCATCATCTGCGTCTTGAACAATCTTCACCACCAATGGCTCATTGTGATCATGTGAAAAGAGAATTGGGAAAAACAGAGGTGGCTTCACACTAAGACTTACACAACCACCAGGGTTGCGATAACAGCTGTCAGTGCATGTAAAGGCAAATTTCAAACTAGTGTCAGAAGTTATCAAGACAAAATGCTGAGAATGTTGATTGATTGCTCCATAAGTGACAAACGTATGTTTAAAGATGTTGTAAAAAGATGCAGAGTGGTAGCACGTACAAATGATTTGATTTAAAGAATTATACATTTTTAAAACTTAGGCGGTAGGATCACCATCAGGACTATTAGCCCACAATGAGGAATTTTGGCAAAGAACTGAACCTACGTATGTGCAAAGTTTTGTTTATTTTCTTTCCTTTTAGGAAGCTGAGGTGCCCCGCCCTTAATTACTTGTCCCTTTGCCAGCAGGGTTAAATAGACTCTTGACTGCAATTCAAGAATTTGATCAGACCCAACCCAACGGTTGTTTGAGATTGGACGCTACTGTTCAACAGACAGGACGATTTGAGCAACGTGGCTAATGGTCGCAAGCTGATTGATATGATTGATATTGTTATTTTTAATACTAATCCCACAGTAGAGGTAATCACCACTGCCGATCACTGGGCCTAGCGAAGTGTGCTCTACATTAGTTTAGTTAGGCAGATGGTCAACTGGATGTTGACCAACACTAAAGTAATTAAGATATTGAATCATGGTTCATCTATTCTTGAGGTCTATACACGAAAGGCACGCTGTAACAGACACAGGAGGATGGTTGTGGGCAGGGCACGTGAGTCTGGTTACACAGTGTAAATCCGTAAATAATTCTGGGAGGCCCCTCCTGGTCACAAAGGCTCTACAAGATCAGACAGGGTTAGGGGCCTTCTGTCACTTCTGGGCTACGTAGATGACAGTGGTGCTGACTATAAACATGGTGTGAAGAACATTCATTGTGCTTTTAAAATACAATGCATTGTTTAATTAGATATAGTTATCACTAGATAGATTAAGAGTCTGCAGCCATGGTGAGGTTATAGGCACAACAGTGTTTTGAGCAAGATGCTAAAATGTTTATGTCTACCATATTAATCATCTAAGTTTATTCTTTGCTAATTAGCACTAAATACATAAATAAAAAGTCAGGGGATCACAGAAGTCAGTAGAAATCATTGTCTGGAGATCATGAGGTTTGTCCTAAATTTTATGACAATTCAACCAATAGTTGCAAATTGAAATTGGCACAATATAGCTAATACAGAAGCTTCTTATATATTCAGTTCTTGCCAATTTGAATGTGGGTGAGTAGGTTTAGCTGTGTCATAGTTTGTCTGCAGTCCTGCCTGCCTCCTCTCTTTCCCTTCATTCTTTTTAGATAAACATTCAGTCATATTCATCATGACTCAGCACATTCCCAGTTTATGTACACACATTCCTTTGATTTTATGTTCCGAATTAGCTTTTTTTTGGTAGAATTCTTCAGAAACATTGTCCTTTGCAGGTGAAAAAAAGTAGCTTGCAGTCAGTGAAAGCCATTTAGTTTGGCACCATGACAACAGCAGGGACAAAATAAAAGGTAAGGAGTTACTAGATTTACACCTTAAGGTGTGGTATTCCGTTTCTTTTCTGTCTCCACCTTTCTAATTTCTTTGTCAGGCTCCTTGTCTCTCGCTTGTTGTTCTCACGATACCCGAGAAAGCTGTGTTTAGTTATCCGACATGTTCTTTTCTCCACGTCCCGATTTAAGAGGTCACATGATGCTTGCGGACCTGCGTACCTTTGTTCAGGTACATCATCAAGCAGTAACCTCACCCATAGATATAAAATACTTCACTGTAGGTTAAGAATGTTGCAGAACAGGCCTTATTTTTATTTCATGAGCTGAACTAGTATTTATTATGATACATCAACTTAACCTGCGATGACCTACTAAGGCCTGTTCAATTGACCCTTCCTGATTAGCAAGCTAGATAGCTAGCATTTTGCTAACATGAGTTAACCTAAGATTGTAGGACATTATTGTATGTGTCGCTTTTATCTTTAAACCATCTTCAAAGTGCCGTTGTCTCTTTATCACATATGAGCCTATCTAAGTACAGGAAAGGAGAAAGTTGATTCCAAAAGGGGTGAGATCACAGTTGAACAAACTGTCTCACCTATACAGGTATCTCTGTTATTGTGTCTACAAGCTGTGTATAAGGGCCTTTCACATATCAAACTGACTGAGGCACAGGCTTCACAGTAGATAATAAGTAGAAAATATTTAAACCAAAAATCAAACCTGTTACCATGGCAATGTGCGCTCATGTCCACAGACTACTTTAGATTGTCAATATCATTGATTGAAGACTCCAAGCTGTATTGTTCTTATTGTAAGAGAGCTGCATTTAGAAAACCAGTTGAATTTTTATATGTTAAATGTCTGCAAAAACTCATCTCCACAGCAGGTGCATTGTGTGTGTGTGTGTGTGTGTGTGTGTGTGTGTGTGCAGTGTGTGTTTTATAGATGGGGCCTGCTCTAGAAAAAAAGAAAAACCCTCTTCACTCTCATGTGCCTGCGGGTTTATCCATTGAAGTTGTCCTTTCTCACAGAGTAATGCACTATTTCACAGAATCACAGCAATTCCTGCAATCACTCACACAGTCAGAGGGAACAAAGAACAGGCTTGAGATAACAAACTGAGCGCTGAGAGAACAGCTTCCTACCAGCCTGGGTTCTGGTCCTGTGGGCATTATTTAGTGTTAAAGGTGCTTTTCCCACAAATTTCGACCAGTGGGACCCTGTTTAAAAAGGGCTTAGATTGTTGTTTGAGTGTAAGCTAACCCCAGGCTTTCTTGGACCCCTACACACACATTTTAAGCTATCAGACTGTAGGCCTCAGTATTACAGACAATGGGGGTCTGTCTCTTGTTACAGATTGACACACACCTTGCCAGAAACGGCAGGGTGGTAGCCAGGAAACCAATATTTCTAGAAAAATTTGAAACCTCATCTCTTTCATTATCATTTTTTTTTGTCGCCACTCCTTCCTGAAACATATCAGAATGAACAGAAAAGGATGGTGTTTTGTCATCCTTCCCAGTTCACTCTCTCTTTACTGTAATGTCTGGGTAAAGCAGTACAGTTTAAGCAAAGGAAGCCCTGCTCCTCAATGATCATTCTTTGTCATTCAAACATACCAGATGTTACATTAATGTTATTAGTGTGCTTGTGGTTCCATATGCATTAAGCTTTGATGCTATAACTACAACAATAATGGTGTTTCTTTGTTGAATTGGTACTTGAGAGGAGAGAAAACAAACACACAGAGGAGGGAGGTCACATCAAAGTCCAGTGGCACTCCACAGCTGTATCGGCAAAGCCTCCACCTCTGCACCTCAGCTAATGCAACCCAATTTAAATGCCATTGATAAAGGGGAGTAGCCTGGGAAGAGATAAGTGTTGGGGGAGTTTGAAAATTCTATTTAGTTTTTAAATTGGCTATAATTTTCCATTAATTGTGCTCAGTTTGAAAGGTTTCTTAATTCTCATTCGGGTTCATGATTTGCATATTTATCCTGTAATTTTCATTCCTGTGGTTTTCGTTGCATGGTGCAATAGTTGTCACCAGTTTCATGTTAGTGAGCATCAAGCAAACAAAGCATTGCTGCCTAACACGTATATGCTTGTGATTCCACATGTATAGACTTTATATGTGCAATCTAATCTAAACATGGAAATGCTACTAACACCCATTGCTGGGAGGCAAAACTCTGCTTTGGTCTGCAAGGTCTCAAACTACAGCATATTTATTCTATTCTATCTGTAATTTAGAACATCTGCTGTTTTAGATGTACTCTTCAACTCCAAAGCTATATAGGGAGAAATAAACTTGATCATTGGCTGAGGAGATGGGTGAGGCAGAGTGGTCTGAGAGAATAAAAGTCTCTTGTGCCAAAATCAATGTGACCCGTAATAAACTGAATAAAAAACTGTATTGTTTTGGAAAACAATTTAATTCAACGATAATCATTACCAGAAGAATGACATTGTTGGCTACAACAAACTGTTTAAAAAAAAAATAATGTACAGTATAGTTGTTTTTCAGTCAGGCACATACAAGAGCCCAGCCCATAAGACACCATAAAATAGTTTCAGTGTGATAGAAAATTCCTTTTACAATAAAATCTGCCACAAAAAGGTAGCACACATTTTACTAAAAATAACTAAACACTTAGTGTCTCAAAATACTGAGAAACTTTCTCATTATTTTTTATTTTTTATATATTTATTTTCGTCGCTTTGGCAGAAATGAGCTTCCACATGAAAATGCTTCGTCTGATTTATAAGCCCGCCCGCTCACACGTCACAGGGTGGGGGCTGTCCCCTGGACGGTTAAGTAGCCCTCGCTGTGAAAGGGCGCTCTCATATTAGTGTGGAGGAACCAGTTTGAGCCAGTGACATTAAAAGTGACTCCCTCCACAGTAACACTAGTCTCCTTTTTTAAGTGGATACATTATCAGGGTAACTTTAAAGGCGCGTAATGGCTGAGAGGATGGACATGGAGGAGGTGAAGGTATCCAACGGCGAGCCGCTGGCGAACGGACTGGCCAGCCCGAAGAGAGGCAACCCTGAGCAGCTCTCCCAGCGGGTGAAGAGGATAGTGATGGCTAACCTGCTGGTGATTCTCACCGTGGCCGGGGTCATCATCGGGGTTTTTATCGGACTTGGCGTGCGCAACGCCACGCTGACCAGGACCCAGGTCATCTACATCGGCTTCCCCGGTGAGCTGCTCATCCGGCTGCTGAAGATGATCATTATCCCCCTGGTTGTGTGCAGTCTGGTGTCCGGGGCGGCCAGCATTGACCCTAAAGCCCTGGGCAAGCTCGGCGGCTGGGCCATGCTGTTCTTTCTGGTCACCACGTTAATCGCGTCCTCTATCGGGGTGGTGATGGCATTTATCTTAACACCGGGGTCGGTGTCGATCACCAAACCCAAAGTACAAGGCATCGATGACGAAGTGCCCGCCGCCAAAGAAGTGATAGACTCCTTCTTAGATCTGATCAGGTGAGTGACCCCCGTCTCACCCCTCTCACCCCCTCAAACACTACCTCACCTGGTGAGTCGGAACACGTTTATAAAGGTAGTTTAGTGGCGATACTACGCGGAAACAAGCGAGCTAATCAAAGTTATTATGAAACTTACAGTAAAAGCCTACGTTACCTTTTAAAAAAAAAAATGTTAGAAATAAAATAGGTCCAAGTAGTAACCGCGGGCTAGTAGCCAAATGAGCTTAATTTGCCCTCCAGTGCTGTAATGGCAAAACGCTGTTGCATCAGCTCACATTAGTTCGAGCTAACTCCCCCTGGGGGCAAAGCCAGCTGTCACTGACCGCTCAATGAAACCACCACGTCCTTTTTCATAACATATTGTTCTCGGAAGCACTTACTACTTCAGTTTTTATTTCACATTTTGTCCTTTCAGTAGAACTCAAACACGTGTGGGTGTGTGAAACCATTTGCATTGAAGGGACAGCCCCGTTTGTAAAAATAAATAAATAATAATAATAAAAAATATATATATGTGGGCTTGCTTTAAGATCATATCACTATTTAACTTCCCGATGAAACCACTAACTTACCCGAGGTGTGGTGTCGGATGTACAGACACGTGGTCTAACATCTCACTGATGCCAGGAAGATGCGTTCAATGTTCTCACAGTCTTAAACTTGTTGACGTTTTTTTGTTTTTCTGCCCTTGGAAGTCAGAGTGCATCCATTCTTCGGCACGCTGCTCTAAACTTGTCTGGTTGGTAGTCGGTAGCAAACAGCATGTCCTCTTTTTTTTTTTTTAAATCAACGTGTCACACTCATGGGACATTCATGAGACTTGTGCCACCTCATTGACTGTTTAGGGGGGGAGTGGGGAAGCAACAGTGGTTCAGAGTGGGGCAAACAGTTGACTCACGAATGAAACAGAAGCATGTCAAAATCATCTGACACTTTATCATGTATTGAATTTTTAGAAACACATCTTATACAATTAGTTCCATCTTTTGTAAACCCATTTCTTACACGCTATGATGCCGTAACATTGTGTGAGCGATGTTTTCCCTGGCAAAGCTTGGAAACTAGACTGTATGTAGTATAAACAATGAATCCTTTGAGTTTACTGGGGGATATGTGATGTACTCGCCATGACATCAGCTTATTTGATGCCTTTTTTAAAAAACAGATTCGCTTTACATCTGTTTTTGAACCCTATGATTCGTATTAGAGTACCCAGGGTAACATTGAGCGACTATATGAGTTTAAACTTGCCTTCACATTTGATATAAAGTCTCTGTTCACATGTAATCTCGATACACGTGTGACTCTATTGCGTAAATTTGTCTGGTTTTAACATTCTTTTGGGCCTTCTGTGCTGCTTTCCATGAATTATGGAATTGTGCACAATAAAAGCCAGACTTTTCCATCCCCTCCCCTTCCTCCCCCCCAGTAGTGGGACCTAGCCCTGGCAACACCTCCTGAAAACATTTCTAACTGCCCAGAGCCAGATTAGACCTCCAAGAGTAACAGAGCAAAACTTAACCATTCATAGATTAACATTGCTACGCTGATTTATATCAAACCGCTTACATAATGGCATCTAGAAGTTGCCAACACAATGGTTTGTTTTACAAAACTCTTTTACAAAAGATTAGGGTTTTGTCTGGCTCACTGTTCATGTTTAATAGCTGGGATAAAAGGGGATCTCTCATAATAAAGACTGCTTATCAAAGACCAGTGCAACAGTCCAGTTTACTGTTAAATGTTGTCCCTGAATGCAACCTCTCACTACTGTTTAACTGCAGTCGGGGAAAGTAATGGTTATCTCATGCAAGACACACCGCAGCACACACACATTTACACATTATCCTAATGGGACAGCAGGCAAACCCCGTGCCTCTCATTAGAGCGAGGCCTCTCGGTTGGGGTCCTGGTTAGTTTTGACAACAAAGAGACTAGCTGAGAAGCTGTTCATTAAAGTGTAAAAACGGCCTGTACATTTCTCTCTCTCACTCACACACACACACATCCAGTGAAATATTACATGTCTTCCTTTGGGATACTTATGTTCTGTTTAACTGGAGCCACTCCTACACATCCTTGTTGGTGTTCCTTATCTCCTTCCTGTGATTGTTTTCTCACAACCATATGGTCGGCGTTGACAGGTGACCGCTATCAGTCAGCGCTAGCATCACCTGTGGATTTATTGTCCAGGTGCACCACTTGCCTTGAGATGCCGGAGAGCAGAGACATTAAAAACGGCTTGTGTGGCACAAAGTAACTCTCAGAATAGGTTTGCATATTGCCTGCTTTGATCTGAAGTAATTGTGGTATTGGGAGCTTTGTAGACTGTATTTTGTCCCCCCCCCCTTTTTTTTCAATCCTTCATTTTTAGCATTTTTGTCATCCTGTAGATCCTTACTCAACACAGGCTCTTTCAGCTTTTTAAAAACACCACCTGTAAACATTAGGTTTTGTGTAAACCCCTTGGAATCAAAGAAACTAGAGTTATAAGTATGAGAGTATCTATGGTGGAGTTTTCTCTTTTACATTTCAGACGCTTACATTGCTGGCTTGACGTAAACTGAATGAGGGCAAGCTTAAAGGCTGTTACTCATCCATTCATCTGCCCCTTTAAGCCCTTAGAATCAATGTTGTGAGATGGTAAACATTTACTATTCCACGTAGACCTGGACAGACCAGGTTTTCCCTGTGCGTTGCATGATCTGGCAGGTGTGTAACAAGATCCTGGTAAGACGTCAGAGCAGTTTGCCTCAAACAATCAGCAGCCCGCCCTTAAAGAAACACACCCACCTAATGGCGTGTGACAGTACCATGTGTGGGTTGTTATGGCAGTTGTCAAGTTTATTTGTATAGCCGAAAATTACTTTTGTCTTGGAGGCTTTTACTGTCTTTACAGCATATGAAACTCTCTTCTTGACTACCTGTCCCAGGAATATCTACAACAGAGAACAAGGAAGTGGATCCCCTCAGGTTTCAGTGCTGTGTTATCAGTTCTATGCAAAGTTAGAGTGAATGAGAATGCAAAGTGCAAAGCAACATTGTTCTGTCCTTTCCAAACATCCAGGTCTTAGAGATGGCTGTTCTAAAATTCCATTAGGTCTAATGACTCTGGGTCCCAGAATGATACCACATTGACACATTTCTTTGTTGTTTCGGTCAACTTGAAGATATTGAGAAATACAATTTATAAAATTTTAATATTCAAATAAAGTCTAACATTTACTTGATAGGCCGGCAGCCTTTTGTCATGGCTCTTTGCAGCACAATCAGAACTCAGCCTGTGATCCAGCTGGATGTTGCATGCTGCCCTGTCACACTGTCACATGATGTTTAATCCTGATGCACTACAGGTCCAATGAAAGGGAATGAATGGTTGGGGAATAGGTTGTGAAGTTAATGCCTTATTACTCTAAATCCATTAAAGACAGCTGAGTAAAGGGGTATCGGGAACACGTGGGTTTCATGAGTTCTCGAGGGATTTAAAATCCAGTTGGACCTATGTACCAACATGTGTGTATGGTGTACTTGTTTGCGGAGAATGAATAACACAACAGCAATTAGAAAATGGGGCAGAGTGGGGGGAAAAAGGAGATTAATAGTACAATTCTTTTAGCTATTTCCACATGATCAACCTTGTGACTCCATCTGTTTGAACTATTGCTGACATCCAGATTTAGCTGCTGTCTCTGCAACACCACTGTAGATGCACGTTTGTGAAATAGAAACGTTTTTAAAAGTCAGGATATAAATTAGGACCGTGACCCAGAACTCTTCTATGTGGTGCCCCACCAAAAAAAGGTTTATGGCGTTACAATGTGTTTGCCTTGTAGCAAATGTGGCCTTGCTCCTTGTGTCCATTCATATAAGTGGTCAGGGTTGTTTTTGTGCGTGCGTGCGTGCGTGCGTGCGTGGAGAACCAAACAATACTCAAGCACCTACATTGTGTTCTGCTCAAACATGTAATTTCTATCCCAATTACAGCCACATCTTTTTAGTTTTCCCAATGGGTTGGCAGGTACACACTGAACACAGGCATTGAAAGTATTGTTGAATTTTTGTTTTTGTTTTTCTCCCCACAGAAACATCTTTCCCTCCAACCTGGTGTCTGCTGCCTTTCAGTCCGTAAGTACTGCATCTCAGTTCTATAATTTTACATAATTGTGATTTGAAATTGTATAAAGGAAATATTTAGATAAGATGACTCCATGTACTAAACTAACTGCAGAACTTTTTTCCATCCAGTATGCAACCAGCTACAAGCTGGTCACCAGGAACGGGACAGATGGAAACCCTAATATCACAGTGGAGAAGGTAAGCAAAGTGAATGGCCTAGTTGTCCACATAAAATGGACACATACAGGCGCGGTCTTTTTTATGTCTCTATGATGATGACTAGTTGTGGAGCTGTGTTTTTCATGCGTGTCTGCGTGTGTCTCCCAAAGGTGCCCTTTGGAATAGACCAGGACGGCATGAATATTCTTGGTCTGGTAGTATTCGCCATTGTGTTTGGTGTGGCTTTGAGGAAGCTGGGAGAGGAAGGGGAGATCCTCATCAAGTTCTTCAACTCCTTCAACGAGGCCACCATGGTGCTGGTCTCCTGGATCATGTGGTGAGAGAGACATGCATGTTTCTGATAATTGAATAAAAGTGGCTTTTCTTTGGGCCATGTTGCAGAACCATAATAATCTACAGCACTGAACGGTCTCTTCCCTTTCCTGCCCTTCCTGTCTCTCTACAGGTATGCCCCTCTTGGTATCATGTTCCTTGTAGCTGGCAAGATCGTTGAGATGGAGGATGTTGGCACGCTGTTTGCCAGTCTGGGAAAATATATAGCCTGCTGTATCATTGGACATGCCATCCATGGCCTTCTTGTGCTGCCTGCCATCTACTTCATCATTACAAGGAAAAACCCATACACCTTCCTCTGGGGGATATTCACAGCCCTGGCAACAGCCTTCGGAACAAGCTCCAGGTAATTAACTCACCTCTGCTCACTTCTCTGACTCCCCCACACATACACACTTGTTTGTTCTCCCTGGTTGATAAATATCAAAAACTGAGGTTCTTCTGTTCTAAAACACACACATACACTTTTCTCTCTACAAGCAAACACGTTCCGTTTTGCCTTCATACACTCACACATCCCTCTCTTCCTTGTTTTTTTTGTTTTTTTTTAGCTCTGCCACTCTGCCCCTGATGATGAAGTGTGTGGAGGAAAACAATGGTGTATCCAAGCACATCAGTCGCTTCATCCTACCCATCGGAGCGACGGTCAACATGGATGGAGCTGCTCTCTTCCAGTGTGTGGCTGCTGTTTTCATCGCTCAGCTGAACAACACTTCCCTTAACTTCATCCAAGTCATTACCATCCTGTGAGTCCTAAATTCACTTAAACGCAACTGGATTAAATACTATGTCCATATCGTGTAACTCAATACAAGTATAGTCGGTATACAATGATGTGAAACATTTTATCTGCTCTAACTGTCATCTTCCCTCCTTATGTGTTAGTGTGACAGCTACAGCATCCAGTGTTGGAGCAGCAGGTATACCTGCTGGTGGTGTGCTGACCCTAGCCATTATCCTAGAGGCAGTAGGACTGCCTACCAATGACATCTCTCTCATCCTGGCTGTTGACTGGCTTGTGTGAGTACAGAACCATTCTGTTTTATGTGGACATGGAGCATGACAGCCAAGTAATCCAATTCAAACTTACTATATTCCCTGAGACAGTTTCTGTCCACACGTAACACCTACATTTCTGTGTGAGGCGGTTTGTTAAATTGCTTGCCATCCATTCCGTCTTTCTGCAGTGACCGTACCTGCACAGTGCTGAACGTAGAGGGCGACGCCTTTGGAGCCGGACTCTTGCAGTTCTTCGTGGACCGCACGTCCAAACAAGAGGAGGTAGCAGAGCTGAGCGATATCAGGCTGGAGGGAGACTCAACATCCCCTCCCCCCGAGTACTCGCCACTCATTGAGAAGCGAGGTAGGAAGGACGATGCAGAAGGCGCTATGGCTGTTCTATCAGAGTCTGTCATGTAATCCAGCTGCTGACATCAACAGTGACCCTCTCACTTATTTGACACTCCTGCAAACTGAAACCTGAGGTTCAGCCCCCTTTTCCTTTTCTCTTCTGTCCTGAAGAAAGTGGTACATGGAGAAAGGATGACGCACATGCACACTAATATACAATGCAAAGAAAAGTGCTCTGTCCTCAACACTTTCCTGGAAAAAAATTGAGGGGGAAATTCAAAATCCATATTATGCACAGTGACTTTTGTTTCCTTTTTTGACGTACAGTATTGACTTGAGACTAATGCTGGCTGCATTTGGTTGGTCCTCATCACTTTTTAAAGTCAATTTATCATGTGATCAATATATACATCCACTGGGACATCGGTAGGCTGGACCAGTGTACGTAGGGTATGAGTAATGTCAGATCTAATTTTAAATATAGAAGAAATGTTACATTTATTTATGATGGAGAAATGGAAGTTGGCTGTATTTCTGTATCGGCCCAGTTTTACCAATTTGTGCACTCAAAGGTTTCACAGAACCTGCATAAGTAAACACGAGTATGAAAACTTGCGACTTATTAAGTTGACGAGGACCACCATAAAGTTTGCTGCACCCAGTCTCCATGAGCAAGAAAACGTTATTTTGTATTTATATTCTCCATTTGGAATCCGTTACCTTCAAAATGTTTTTATTACTGTCACCTTCTTTTTTGTTTTTGTCTTTTGCATTCAACTTTGTCATATGATGATATATGTTGGAAAATGTATCATTATATGCTTTGAATATATACATACATTTGTGTATTTTGTTATATATGATTATGGCCACTTTCATGCAGATTTTATATCATGTATTTAAATATAGATCTTGTATATGATTTGACATGTGTTAACTATGTTCTGTATGTTCTGCCTGAAAACGCCTGTGATATGACAAAACACACAAACAATATGCATTTATTCTTTTTATGGTGTTTTTTTTTTTTTTAGGGGTTGTTGATTCTCTTACGTACAATGCCTTTCTCTTGGGGAGAAAAAGCTATATTTATGTTTCGAAGCACACCAAATGAAAATTATATCCTCAACAACGTCCCAAAGTTGAATGAACTAACCTTTTTTTCTCAAGGACTCAAAATGTGTCAACATGCATGGACACAGCTTGACCTGCAATCTCCAGATGGACCTCAGTTCTGTGGCAGGCAATGTAACCTCAGGTCTAACTATAGCTTGAAGACTGTCCTTCAACTGCTCCTTAATATTCTGAGACCAAAAATCACACTGATCCAGCAAACAGGAAGCAGACTGTTTGAACTCCTGACACTCCTTTCCAAGGAGAGATGCTGCTCTGTAGGTCCTAAGATCTCAGCAAGGTACAAATCGGTTTTATGGCACAGTATGTGACAAGAAGCCCAGTCTGTTCGATGTTGAGAGTGTGGTGTGAGTACATCTGCTATCTAAGTAAAAGGTCTTTTCACTACAAGGATGTCTCTACATGGTCCGAATAGCAGCAGTGGAATGCTGGTTTGTTTTGGCTGTTACAGCTTGAACACCTAAAGGACTTGAAAATAAGCATATCTCAACTAAAACCTATTTAGTGTTTGGCTGGGCCATAAAAATAAAATACTAGTTTATATGGGCTTGTATGTCGTCGTTGATGCCTCAGATAATTATTTGTGATCATACATATTTATTTCCCTAATCAAAATCCAAAGAAACTTTTAGCCAATGTTTTTGTTAGTAACTCTTGCCAGTGTCTTCTTGTAATAACTGATTGGTGATTTTGTTCCTTTTAATTATGTTCAGTTTTGGTCTTATTTGGGGTGAGATTTGGTGATTTTTTTCTTTTGCAGTTTGGCAGCGGGCCTTTGGGGAAACCTCAAGATACCCCAAGAGTTATACAGTCTATTTTAAAATCAAACAGACTTTATGCAAGAGATGCTGTATCTGTATGTATGATCAACAGTATAGGGGCACTATTGAATGTTTATCTCTTCCATCCATATCATTTTTAATCGTTGAAAGCTCTACCAAATGTCTGGGGAATAGGCTACTCCATTTTAAAATAGGAAATGTGTGAGCATTTATGATCTTTTCAGTTGGTACGAGTCGGTATTCCAGGCATCCCAAACTGCCGGCCCGGGGCCATTTCAGGCCCTCCATTCATGATGTCAAAAATATAACAAAATCCAGCCATAGTTGTTTTTTTTTTTGTTTGTTTTTTAGTTTCATATCAATTTATACAATTCAAATAAAAACACAGTTCTAGTTTAAAAAAATGTATTTTGTCTGGTGCAGAAATAACAGCAGAGGTCAAAGGGTTGGTGAGAAGAGGGCAGGTTTTGGGCCGTCATTTGTTGTTTGGCTGCAAACGGTAGAGATTGTACGAAATGATATACGAATGTATAGAAACTTCTGTATTCATTTTATAAGTCTGATGTTTAGTAATGGAAATATTTTTAGAGTATTGTGCTTTCTTGTAGTACTTGAACATTGAAGTGGCTCTCCTATGAGATGACAACACCAGCAGTGGCCCCAGGCCAGTTTGAGCCCCCAACTGTTTTCTTTCTCAGCTTTATTTTGTACTAGTTTTTGCAGTCTTCTCCTAATTTCTGCAGTCTTATGTCGTGAGAGAATGCTAAAAATGTTGCTTCAAACACAGCTCTTGTGCGTCGGTTTCTACTTCATGCCTTTTTGGTGCAAAGTTGTAAAGATGTTAAGACGTTAACATTCCTTTCTGAGATCTTTCACCATGTGGATGTCTGTCTGGTTCGATCATAGTACTTGTCTTATGGTTATGCACATGATAGTTTTTTCCTGGTTTCCAGTCAAATATACTGTCAGTAGGTTTAAACAATAAAGGCCTTTTTTATTATTTGCTTGTGTGGCGCCTGATTTACTACCTTCCCTGTGTGTTTAAACCCCAATTACTGCAGTCAGCAATTCAAAAACTGCTTGTGGTGATGTGAGAACGCCACAAGCAGTACAGTACATTATGCAATGTTAAACAACTACAGCAGTAAAATGCCACATATACTGTACATCAATGCACCAGTGATTTTGCTGATAATACCTTGAAATGCAGGACTTTTACTTGCAGTGGAATATTTTCTTGTGGTACTTATGTAAAGGATCTGAATTCATCTTCCACCTTTGAAATCATAGTTATTATGGACATTATGTCTGCCAGTCATTCGCAGATGCCATTCTGTAGCATTTTCACTTGAGACTTATTTAGGGTTCAGGATCCTTTATGCTTTTGCATCTAAAAATAAACACACATGGCCTCTCAGTGTGGTATGCTTATCTAATTACCAGGCCGTACGAACAAGGCTGGTTATCCATTGGTAAATAAGGAATACATTACGTGCAGCATCAACAAGCCAAAGGCAGTTTTGTTACTTCTGCTTGCATACAATTAGAAAGCTAGTTTACATCACTGGACCAGTCTGACAAACAAGAGAGCTGCATTCCTGTAATGTTACATTCCTGGTTGTCCCGTCATAAAACCTCCCACCCCCTGGGCTTCTGCCATATGGCTGAAGAACTCCCATAATACTGTGCAGTGAACATAACTTTGGCTTAGGCTTTGTAGTGACAAAGGTCTGTTGTGCCACCTAGTGTTCAAAAAGTATTACAACCAATATTGCATATATAACATTTAATGCATTTACAATACAACACATTAATATGTTCCAGCTTCTTTATTACAGTTCAAATTAGTGACACCTTGATACATCACACACACACACACACACACACACACACACACACACACACACACACACACACACACGTAACAACACTACAGGAAACATGTCATACCCAGAGAGGCTGGTGTGTTTTCTATGTGCAACTTTTAAAATGTTTTCTTTGAATGATCTACTGAATTGAAATTCCGTTTGAGTCAATACATTATTGGTGCTCAGTAGAAACACACATAATCGAGCTGAGGGTTAATATTCATTTACAAATTCAGTCAAAGTTTGAGGTTTTTTACTGAATACTAGGGCCTGATAGGGCAACATTTCCTCCTCTCCATATGCCAACAATAACAGGATGAATGACGATGTGTCTCTCATTTTACCGAGAGAAAACGTGAAAACTGACTCGCCACATCACGGTTGTACCAAATGGCACCGATATACAGTAACATTCATTTATAAACTGTGCAAAACTGAAAGAATCAGTGCAAATCACTGCAACAGAGTCAAGAAATTCATAAAACACCTGTTAGGGCATAACCACTTATTATTAAATAATTCTGTACAAAACCTTTTAAAAAGAAACCAATATCAATATCATTTAGAAGTATTTATCATGTTTATAGCAGTCGTATTTATACTTTACTGTACAACACATACAGATTTAGTACACCATGTAGTAAAACCAGTCTTTGTCTCTGTATGGTTTGCCTCATGTAAATGCACCAGTGTAGTGAATTTTGGACAAATTAACAGAAAATGCAGTCATTTTGGCACCTCGTCAGTTTCCAGGCATCATCTTTTAGGCTGTTTTTCAAAAACTTTCTGTGCTGTTATTAGGTAAACAAATACAGTACCACACAAGAATGAGTCTCCATCCTCTCTCATAACTTGCTTCTGTCCAGCCTCTTTTTTGTGGGGTTGGGATACTGGGGGTTCTCAATAACCCCCTCTCCAAACTTGAGCTCCAAGAAGGCTCGGTGGTTGTTGGGGCCATAGGCAGTAATGCCAGCAAAGGACATGGGCACCAGCGGCTGCAGGAAGTGCTCTGGGAACTCCACGTCTTGTTTGTGCTCTGTCCATGTGTCTTTGGTCATGACACCATTTCGTGGATAGAATGGCCAAAGGTCAACATGCAGGTGGTTGGCCTCGCTGTACTGGACTCTGTAGAAGTCTCCTTCCACTGCACGCTCCCAGACGTAGCCATTAGCATCCACAAGAGAGCCTGAGTCCAGATTCTTCAAGTGATCACAGTTGGGCACGTCCTCCAGGTAGATGCCCAGGTCCACGTCATAATCCCATGGGATGATGTCCTGATGGCGGACAGCGCCCAGGAGAGTCCCGCCCTCTAGCCAGTAGCGCACACCTGAGGTCTCCAGGATATTGATAACATACTTAGTGGTTTCCCTGAGAGCTCGCAGACAGCAGGGAGGTGTCCAGCGATCCAGATAAAGGTAGTCCGGAGTGTCATCCTGCACAGTACCAAAGCAGCGAGGTGTCTCTTTACTGCAGCCATACCACTGTTCCTTCCCATCAGGTAGCAGGAGGCGCTTCAGACCAAAGCTCCTCATGAGCTTCCCGGTGGCCTCCTTCAGTCGAGTGTCGGCCTTCCACTGGTTGTGGGCGGAGCTGAAGAGGGGCCGGTGGTTTGCGGAGAAACAGGGGCTCTCCAGCAGCTTCACCTTCCAACTTCTCAAAGCAGTCTGGACGAAGAGCGAGGAGAAGAGGGGCCGACCCAGAGGGACAGAGAGGTTAAAAAGATCCTCAGTGCGAATTAGGACAACTGCATCTCCTTGCAGAGCCGTACACACACTCCCGCTGCTCCCAGATGCAGCTGGCGAGTAGGTGGCTGTCCACTCTCTGAGGTTCACACGCAGGTGGAGACACTGCACAGCAGATCGAGCCAACACGGGTGCGGCTACCAGCCTCACCGGCCCCCCACCCTCACCTTCCAACTCCCTTATCAGCCTCTCGATAGCCCGAGGTTGTTCCAGCTCCACCCCATCAGGCACCAGTAGCACAAACTCTGTCTGGACGTGGAACTCCGGCCTGTGAGCTTGCGGTGGCTGGTCCGGGGTGGGGGAGAGCACCAGAAGCCGCGCGCCCTCTGGAAGCACCAGGGGAGGGTACGGAGATGTGTCAGCCACAGCCAGGAAGGGAAGCTCAGGTCTCTGGCGGAGGAAGGAATTAGCCACATCACCAACATAATTCTCAAAGTTCTCAAACTCCCGAAGAAGAACAGTGACACGTGGGCCACGACTGTGTCCCTCCACTCCGACCACTCCAGGCTCACCTCCGGCTCCTACAAGAATACCCAGTCCTCCCCCTAGACCGGAGGCTGGTAGGGCAGCCCTCCTCGTGCCCCTGCCAAGTTCCTTCCTCTTCTCCATCATCTGCTGCTGGGCCCGGGACACATAGTAGAGAATGAGGAGGTTGAGGATGATGGCGCCAGTTAGTAGGCCCTGGCAGAGACTGATACGCATGGCAACTAATGTTTATGTTCCAGTTTCTTTCAGGGGAAGACGTTTTTAATTTAGAAATCCAGTGATGGATCTTAGGTCCCCATTACTGTCATAGCAGAGGAATGAGAGTTGGAGACAACCTGTGAAAGACAGAGAAATAATGATGCAGTGATTATGATTTACTTTCCCAGATACTTTGACTGTCTTATATAATTTAATGCTACTTTAAAATGACACACAGGACAGGAGCTTTAAGCCTAAACGTAAAACTAGGACAGCCATAGCTCCATGCAACCTCTGCTTTTATGAATAAAACATGGCTAGCTGCAATACCAATCAATAAAAAACAGGTTGGTAAAAGCCATGAGCACAACTCACCTTAAATTGGATGCATCTATTTTATTTATTTGCAAGGCAATCATTTGCACCCCGTCACATCATGCATTAAGTTATCAGAAGCTTTAGCAACATTAAGCCCATTAACCTTATGGAACTATATTTGGTTTTCATGGTGGTCCATCTCAGCCAGCTCTGGTAGCACAGGAGCAAACCTGCTGGCATTAGTCTGCATTGTTAGCTAATATCTGTGCGGGTGAGGCTGAGATCGAGTTTCCAACATTTTGAGGAGAAATCCACGACTAAGTGCACACAAATCGCATCAGAATATGTCATTACTCTGAGGCTTAAGACAAGCTCAACCATTAAACCCAACTGCACGAATTTACCATTAAGCTATCACGCCTGCCGTCTGTGTTGCCTGCAGCAACAACAGAAAGACTTCCGGCTCTAGTCCTTCAGAATAAAAGTACCATTTAAAAAAATAATAACAAAACCTTCAGATGTTGCACAAAACTGCACCAGCAACATATCAAAATACAATTTTGTATCCTTATACAATCATTTAATCTCCACCGTTTTAACTGTACAATATGTAATTTTGAGATCTGAACATCTCCCTCTGTATATGCATACCTATGTAAAACAACATGCAATGTACAATGTAAAAACACAAAAATAATAAAAATATTTCACTAGTGTAATAGGAAACAAAATAAAGACGATGTATGTGGCTACATAACTACACTTGTGTTCTTATTTTAGAGCAAAATGATGCCACAGGACCCAGAGCTGAACCCTTGCAATGTATTATTTATTAGATATTATGTAATTATAATGTACATGCACACTGGCAATAATGTGCCCTCTAAGGGATCCTTAAAATGGAGAAAACACAGTGGAGTGCCATTAGCTGCCCTACAAGCTAGAAAGGGGTTTGGAACTTTTTCATCATAAATGCATCTCGACTTTCTGTGCGTTAGTGCCCTATCACATGCAGACGGTGCCCATTTTAGACACCACAGTATGTCTCATTTGTTGTATCCAATCCTGTATTTCCACATGGTTAAAATTAGAAAATGAAGATTAATAATACCACGTGTTAATTACATATCAACAAGCAAAATTAAATGGTTTAAGGTTGGTTGCTTTTTAAAATTATGGTCCAGATTTTGCAATATGATGGAAGATGGGAGATAAATATGTTCAGTAGTACCAGAGGATGTATATTGTCTGGGCTTGGGAGGTTATTTATTATTTTAAAATTCAATTGATTACAAATCTGCAAAAAGAACTGTGATTCTTGCATGCCCATATGGAGGAACATACCTATCTGACACCTGTCATCCACTATTTATACATTCTCCAGCGTTTTGTAAAACCACACAAGCAGCAGCAGCCTCCACACATAAAGCTGCTGCTGCTGCTGCAACAAAATCACGGTCAACCTGTGTTGTGGAGATTTTTTAATGGAAGTTCAAACAGGAAACAGATTTGTGGGTAATTCTGGCTAACTTCACTGTCCTCAAACATCCCTGCTCACAAAATGGCAGGAAATAAACTCCCCTAGCGACACGTTCACTGTGTATTGCAGCAAACATGGCCCTTTATTTGTCAACCACAGTGGGCATTTCCAGCAGCAGCAGGAGGAGGCGGAAACAGATCCGGATATACAAAATAAAAGCCGCAAACCACATTCATAACACTCATTTCGGTTGATAGACTTTTAATAACCACATTTAGATGTTACATTAACAAACGTTTCCAAGTAAGAATGTACACTGAATATGATTTATTGGTAACCAAACATGACACGATGTTGCAAATATGCAGCTTGATCGCGTTTTATTTTGAAGGTTCGAAAGCGGAAGTGTAGTATTTTACCACCTGAATAGTAATTTTGCTCTGTGCGTGTGAGAAAAGGAAGAAAAGAGGGTCACTTATAGTGAAGTGCAGCTGGGTTGGAATAAGGATACGAGGTACTTTTTTTATTATTATTGTTGTTCGTACACTCTGTCCGTTTCCACCTCCTTATCCTGGCGAAAGGTTGAACGGTTAAAATGGAGGCGGACAGATCCGGCGGAGGACCAAACCCGAACTCCGGAGGCGGCAGCGGAGCGGGGCGCAACCCAAACGGGCCCAAAGCAGCACCGGGCCAGGCGACATCAGCCGCGGCGACCGGGGCGATGGCAGCGGCAGCGGCGGCGGCAGCAGCAGCCGGAGCCATGCCCGGATCGTCGCAGGCTCGGGAGCTGCAGGACGGGGACTCGGGTATGACGCTTCCTGGGATCCTGCACTTCATCCAGTACGAGTGGGGACGCTTCCAGGCCGAGAAATACCGCTGGGAGGCTGAGAGGGACGAACTCAGGGTAAATTTGTTGTATCATTTAGGCTACATTTGCAACGGTGCCGCCGAATAAAGGCCAGAACGGACACTGCAGGAGCTCCTTCAGTGTTGCTTTGTGACAGTACACATGCCCCACAATCAATCAGTATCATTGTGACAAAAATGCTAACGGGCTAACATTACACCCTATCATATTGTATTGACCAGGATGTGTTATTACTAGACAGCAAAGAAGCACTGAGGGACTCTGTGACCTCAAGCTGATCATCACCAGAAGCCAAACAACCATTAAACATAGAATAAACAGTTTTTCCCCCAGACAGCAATAATCTGTGCCTTTTGGCCTTAGCATGCCCATACAATCAGTTACTTCCACTCACAGGTATATACACCACGAAGTTAAATGATACAAAAGCAAGCAACTTATCCTGCAATAAAATGGGTAGGTAAACAGTTTAGGTGTGGCTACCTTGCACTGTCTCCATGATATTAATGCAGGTACGCATCAAAGACATGTCTGTGTCAGATTCCTTTCAAAATGTCAAAATGTTTTTCTGGCATTCATGTGCAATCATAATTTGAATGTAGACAGTTAATCAGGTTTTCATACCCCACAGGGGACAAATCAAGTGATTTGTGGCTGTGCTGTTGTGGTTGAAAGATGATGACAGTGTCACACAGATTTGAGTTCCCCTTTAAAATAACTGCATTTGAGAGTGATCGTTATTTGAGGGTCAGTTGTGTCCCGAGTGCTGTCCTTATGTAACGAAATTCCACCATAACATGAGGACTAGTTTTATGTTAATGTTGTTTTTATTCACAAAACAGTTGGGACACTGAGAGAAAGTGAGCAGGGTGACCTTTTCAGACAGGCTTCTCTCGCCAATCGCCATGCACACCAGACAGACAGCAAGTTTTTGTAAGCAGTTTTTGCACTAAAGAACATCTTACTGCAAAATCCCCCACAGATGAAGTTCTTTGAGGCTTAATATTAACAAGCCTTGGTCTGTAGTAATGTGTAAGTCTGTCTATCTGGTAGAATTTGAAAGGAAAATAACATTTTGAATTAGGGGCCTGTCACACAGACGGATGAGTCAGTGTTGTGGTGGATGAACATGGATGGTATGTTTGTAATGCAGTGTATTTTTCTGTATCATTCATACTTTTTGTCTTTTAGATTGTTATCAGTCAAGCACAATCCTATCTACAACTAAACATGCGTTTAAATATGAAAGACACAACAATGTAAAATCACCTGCCGATTATAAACACGTATTTGTCTGCCTGGTTAAATAAGTGAGCTTGTATCTTATAGGTCATCAGTCATAAATCTGTGAAACACCTAGAAAAGTCTATGTGAATGTGTGAGTCAGTGCCATAGCAATGCCCTTGAGCCAGGCATGAGTCCCCTAAATGGCTGCCGTTATTCATCGACCGGCAGCGGAAGACAGAGGTTGTACTATGCAATTCTCCTACATGCATGTGTGTGAGGCAGAGCATTGCTGGGCAAGATTGTGCATACTCATCAAATTGTTCCAGGATTAACGCAGGTTAGGAAAACATACACACACATTCAAGGATGTTTTTCACTCTGTGTTTGGAATGAAGGGATGAACCGTTTCATTCCTACCACCATATGTGGTCTTCCTCCTGTAACCACACGTTGCTTGTAATTAGGATGAACCATCTTCTGGAGTTCACGAGCTGCTTGACAAAACCGCAAAAAAAAAAAAAAAAACACATATCATTGCCTCTCTTCTGTCACTCTGCTTCTCAGTTTGCCCCTGACTGAAACCTATGTAGTTATAAATAGGAGCCTGATAAAATATGGATGAACAATAACAAACGGGCTGTGCTCGCTGCCTTTACAGCCGTGTGTGCGGATGGAAGTCAGAAGCAGGCCATCGCTATGTCCGACATGCCATTAGTGATTGTTATGGAACTTTGTTTGCGTGTGCGTATTTGCTGCACATGGTCTGGTTTCACGGGTACAATTAGCACCACGTTCTGTGCTGAGAGAAAGCGAGGATCGCTGAAGTGCCAGGCTGAAAAATTGACCTAGCTTACATTTTAACACCCACAGGCCACAGGCCTCTGGCTTTTGTTGCCAGCATGCTCGCAGGGCTCTCGGCATGTCCTGTACAGTCTGAAGCATTTGGTATATCTGTCCATAGTCTGCTCACATATTGCCTGCGAATGACAATTTGTGCTTTCATGGTATTCATAAGGCTAACAAGGAACGCACAATCATAGATTGCAACAGCAGCAGAACGATCTTTGACAGAGATTAACACTATCATCTTACGACTGTGTGTGTCTCTGTGTCACAGTGTGGATGTCTGTGTGACAGTGTGGATGTCTGTGTTTAGCCTGTCTCTGTGAGACTGTAACACATGTGCTGTCTTTTGTGAGTGGGTTTCTTCGGTGTGAAAGGCCACCTGTGGTGTCGTGTCTCCAGTGACAGGCCAGGAATGAAGGCCCTCCCCGCTTTGGGCCAGGTGGGACGTCCCAGCACTACCAGGGGACAGGTGGCAGTGGCCTTGTTCTTTCTGTCACGCAAGAAGCTTTTCCCCACTGTATTCTATCAAATTACACTACTACTGCACTGTGTCTGAAGGAATTGGCTTGTTTTTCGCTGGTCCTCATTGTAATTTGATATACAAACAGACTGCAGCAGACATGGAACCAGATCAGTGGGTTTATTCTACAGGTAAAAGGGCAGACCTTCACCTGTTTCCCTTTGCATTATTCTAATTTTCAGCTATTTAATTGTATTAACCATATCAGTAGTTGTGTAGAATAGATTACTGGTGACCCAGATGACATCACTTCCTGTTGAGTGTGGCCCCGGGGGCCCTGGGTACACATCTCTAATTAATAGCTTCGCACTCTCAGCTATGACACACATATGACATCCATATGTACTGCATTATTACAGTGTGTGCCTCCCACCCACGCAGACTTGGACGGTTCCTGTTATGTGTTGTTGTTAATATATTTTTAGTATTTTCCCTTCCTTTTTTCCGTATGTAATTCCCAGCTCTTCCCTTGAAATCTTGAAAATCTCATGATTTTAGTTTTTTCCTCTTATTCAAGCACATTCATGACATGCAGTATTTTATTTTATCTATTTTTGCCTCCCAGTGCTTATGGAGCATCTTCTAATCAAACTTAGGCAGCAAGCCCAACTTTTTTAGGATGTCATTCCCTTGTTAAATACTACACGTACACACACTGTAACACACTCCATTGGAGCGCACTGTCCCAGAAAAGTTCATTGCTCTACTTGTTGGCTCCTGGATTCTCTCATGGGGATGAAGGGATGAGAAGATGGAGGGTGGCCAGTGGAGGAGGAAAGCTGCCCTTGACCCCGTTCTGCAGCTAGTAGAGAGTGACTGGCTAAATGTGTCAGCTCTCCATGTTACAACAAACTCTGGAAAGGTCAGCAGCGGTAGGCCACATGGAGGAAAACCCACCCACAGGAAAGAGAGATCAGATGGCACGACAGGTTTGCTTGCAACAAGGTTCCTTTGTTAGTTTATCAATGTAATACAAAGAAAATAACCAATGTCAACATTAGCAGAGCTATATGAGATGACACCCAAAAGACTTACTAATCATTTTATTATTCCTCGACATGGGCCGGTTTTAAAACCTTATACATGTCTGAGTATACCTGTCTTTTAAATAGTCTGATGTTTTTTGACCTGCTGTTTCACTGCTGTTGTGATCTTTCATTCCATTTTGGCTCATTTTTTGTGGGTCAGCCTCTTAATAAGAACACCTTTTAATAGCTGATGAATGGACTGCCTTGTCTCACTTCTGTTGGCCTGGGTCCCACACTTGAATTAAAAACAATGTTGTGCCAATCTGTACCGGACAAAGGGCAGAATAACAAAGACCAGCGTAAGCAAAAAACAATACTAATCTGGCTGCCTCAGTAATGAATCAGTTTTTGTTAATGTATTCACAAACCTTAATAGGAGCTTCTAGCTGTGGGACCTTGTTTCACCCATTAGCCTACCACTTCACAGGAGAAATACTGTAGGAAGGAAGAGCAAGTAAAACCAGGTCAGAGCTGCAGAATGACTAGTTAAGTACATAGACATACAGCAATAAACCCTTTGGTACACTAATCCCTCTGTTCAGGCCACCTTCTATGTATTGGGAAAAGGAAGTTCTTACAGTCAGCGTTCATTGTCATGTTAGTATCTGGTTGTGTGTGTGTGTGTACACACACACAGCCTTGTCTCTCTCTCTTAGCAAACAAACCATTGTCAGGGATTTTGGGCACTAGTGGGAACCTGTCCTTCTAGGAACTCGGCGTGACACTTGCGCACAAGATGGTTATCTGTGTGTGAGCAGGTTGTAGCTCGTCGGTGTGCGAGGAGGAGTAGAAATGTGTGCCCTGCCCCTGAAGGGTGAAGTAGACACATTCCATTTAGAGGTGGAAAATTACAAAGCATTTTTCTGATTCAAATCATTTAAAGATTTGTAGTCTGTGACTCAAATGTACATCAGTAAATGATCAAGGGGACATTACTGTATTCTGCCTCTGACTGGCTTCAGTAAGCTGCTGCTGCTGCTGCGGGTTCAAGCTCTTTTGTTGAGTTCAGGTCTGACATGAGAGCCATTTGCAAGTTGAAGAGCTCAGCATCTAACCATTTTGGTCACAGTTTTTCCAGTAGGTTTTTGAGCATGATTGTGCGTCTCAAGGCTGAGCTGACGATGATGTTTTTACTAACTGAACAGCTACTGAGTCGGCACACTGCACACTTAAAGATGTATTTATTTGCATGCAGTGAAACCTCATATTCCACTTTGGCTCTCCCTTGGATTTGAGTGGTTTTACCCAAGTTGCCCTCTGTTTGACCCACAACAGACTTCCATATCAGAACAGTGGAAATGTTTAAAGGGAAGTTTTATTGTTGTGCATTCTAGTTGAAGCTTGATTGTTATTGATAAAAAGCAAATGTTATCTCATTTTACTTTGAGGATGTCATTGTAATGTGAGCTTGTTTGTATTTCTTAGCCGTGTACCATCTGTTTTCAACCGTTTATGGTACCCAGTACATAATGTACATGCTGTTTTCTTATATCTGAACCTCCCACACTATGACACTGCCCAGCTACCGAAACAGCCAAGCTCTGCTTTTCTTGTATTTCAGCATGTTAACATTTTATATCTGATTGTGCTACACTGTCTACAATGTCACACTGTGTGGAATGTACAAACACAGTATTGCATTTACCATTACAAAACACAACAACTGCGCAGTTGCTACTTTTGTGCATCCGGAAAATGCTCAGCTAACTAGCACTAGCAGCTATCAGCCACATAACCACAGCAAATTATATATTATAACATGGCTGTTTATACCAGGCTAAGCAGACTTTTTTTTGTGATTCACTAGTCTTCCTAGTTTGGTAAATGAATGCAATACTTTTTAAACCGACCCTTACTGTATTTCACAACCTCTTAGGTCATATCTGCTGTGTTGTCATGCTAGATTTGACAATTATCTCCAAAATGTTAAGATATAAGCATATAAAATCCCATTGAATTAATCAGGATTACTCAGCAGCAGCAGAAGTAAGGTTTGCTTGGCAGATTATCCTGTGTTCCACTAGCCCTCCTAGCTGGTTACATGACTCTCTGTGTGTGTGTGTGTGTGTGTGTGTGTGTGTGTGTGTGTGTGTGTGTGTGTGTGTGTGTGTGTGTGTGTGTGTGTGTGCACACTTTCCTGGGTGATTGACTACCCTCTCAAGTAGACCGAGTGCCTGCCCCATGAGATAGTGTTTATAGACTGTTCTAGTTTTACATAACTGCATACGCGTGTGGGTGCAGACTCGTGGACACAGACAGGGACGTGCAGAGGAGAAATGGACTGTAAAACAATCGGTATTAATGCTCCAGTACCACTTGGCACAAAGAGAGAAAGAAAGGGAGGAGAGTGAAAACTGTTGTGCCTACGATCACCTGCATGCAACCCCTGAGAGTAGAAACATAGGTAGGCCTTTTTAACCTACCTCGAACTGGAATTAATGTATTTGTTTCCGCTTGGGCATTTCTGTCCTTCAACCTATAGAGGGCAGGTAGTTTGCTGCCTGATGCGAACCACATTTGTGCTTCGAAACTGCCCACCAGCATCACCTTGTGCAAAACACTGAAACCTGTGTTATAAACCTTTCTCCATTCCGGCAGCCCTTTTAACATTTTTGTCAAGTCTTGCTTTATAGCTTACTCAAGGGAAGACCCTGTCTAAAAATAGTTCTCATCAAAATTTGACAGTGTCATCATTCTCATTATCACTTTTTTTTTTCTTCTTCTCACACAACCTTTTTAATTGTTTGACAAATGGCAAGAACGGGCAGGGAACATCTCTTTCCTAAAGGTAAGAATTCTATCAGCTAAGTGAGGAAGGAAACAGACGGGAAATGAGAGAGGAAGCACACGAAGGAAGGATGCTTGGATTTGGCCAGTCTGTCTTGTTTTTCCTCTGCTGCAGATGCGCACTGGAGCCTTGGTTAGGTGAAGTTAAAAATAAGAGCCCTGTTCCACAACCCTCTACTTATTCTGGCTTCTCAGAAGTCATGTTTGTTATGCTCGTCACATGAAACTTTTTTTTCCTTTGCGTTCATGGTCTCTATTGATATCAAATGCTTCACTCTCCAGCCTTAATTCAAACCGTACATGCTTTTTTTTTTTTTTATACAGTTCACTGCGTTTATAGCACAGTCACAGTGTCGGCATTAATTGATTTTCCGATCATATACGCTTGTGTGTGGTTGCGATATGTGTGTGAAGGTACTTTGTGTTCCTTATCATCCGGTGTATGTGTGTGTTTTCAGGCTCAGGTGGCATTCCTACAGGGTGAGAGGAAAGGGCAGGAAAATATGAAACAGGACCTGGTGAGGCGGATCAAAATGCTGGAGTACGCCCTCAAACAAGAGCGGTAAGACAAATGTCCCCGTGTCCTCGTGTTTGTTACCCATTCAGCCTGCGTAATGGTTTGTAATGGTTGCATGCTTTAGGCATAGCGATTTGATAGTGAAAGATTTTCTTGCATTTGCTTGTAATGCTTCCCTCATGTGGTCTTTTGTGGGGTTGCAGGGCTAAGCACCAGAAGCTGAAGACAGGAAACGACCAGAGTCCTGGAGACAAGAAACCAGAGACAGAAGCAGACCAACGTATGTTTAACCAAGCCCTCACAGCATATACTCTGTTTTTGTTTGTTTTTGTTGTTATTTTTGAAATATTATATCATCTACAGCTGTTGCATCTTGTACTGCTGCTGTACTTTCAGAGCAACTCAGTTTCTGCTTTTCTCTTTTTCTGCCCATGCCTTGCTCTTGCATCACTATTGACCAATCTATTTTCTGTAGTTCCCAATGGGCCAGCTGAGTCAGACTCTGAGCCAGCCAATCAGATGTCGTGGAAGGAGGGACGTCAGTTACTACGCAAGTAAGGCCTCTCTGTCATCAGCTCCTTTTTAAAAAGAAAACTTTTTCTGATGTCTATCAGTACTTTATCATTGGTTTTGAATTGTTCTGGGTGTATATTTATGTGTCCCTTTTCCTGTAAATGCAGATATCTTGAGGAAGTGGGTTATTCAGACACTATCCTGGACATGCGGTCTAAGCGTGTGCGCTCCCTGCTTGGGCGGAGCAGCCCTGAGGCTAACGGACCTCCACCCAGTGAAACCTGTCCTGAGCCGGAGCCCCGGGCAGGTGGAGAGTCGTTGTTGGTCAGACAGATAGAGGAACAGATCAAGAGGTGAGGCTGTGAAAGCAGACATCCTCTCACTCTCTCTCTCTCTTTGCCGTTGCAAGAGAATAATGACGCCCGCAGTTTGCAACAAAATCACGACAATAGATTGACATTTACTTTGTTTGTTGTTCGCCTCCAGTGCAATATAAGCACATTATGTTCCCACCAAATATTTATTATAATGGTCAGTTGTTCAAAAGTCCTGTGGGTAAATATTAATGCCATAAGTCTTGAGTCACCCTGAATAGACCTGACCTAATTTGCACATCATGCCGTAATCTGATTATACTATTCAGATACATGACCTTGAAATATTATGATGATGGTGATACTGATCCAGGTCAATTGAGTTCAAGCGGTAATGTACACACACAGTAGGTTGTGCTCTTAAGACATTTTGACCTGGTCTTTATCACGTTCGTAATCAGGGTATTGGGGAAGAGTGGGAAATGTGACTTATAATCTTTGTCCTAATGTATTGGTGAGTGGAATATCATTATAAACAGAGTAGAAATTAGAATTACCAGACAGAAAATGTGCATGTGACACAGTGTTAACATGAGATGAGTCATCATTGTATGGTAAGGCTGCTTTGTGAGTAGCATCCATGTGCATATGTCTGTGCAAGCATAAATGTGAAGACAGTGAAACAATAGCACATCCTAATCTCAAAAGCCAACAGAACAAGATGCACAAAAGATGTCTAAAACGGAGGGCATCCTCCATCAGGCAAACATGGTAAGATTACAAAAAAGAAAAGAAACATGTTAAGGTTGTGTATTGTCCTTGCACGGAAAATATACAGTATGTACCTGTCAGACATGTACAGATTGTTCCATGTAAAGATGAAATCTGTGAGTATACATATATGAACCAGGGATCATTTTATCAAAATATTGGAAATGTAGGTTTAAAACTCATAATTGCACTCACAAAAAGCATTTTTAAGATTATAAAAATGGCTGTACTGTAATGTAGACGGCTGTGGCCAAGCTTTTATTAATATCATCTTATACAGTGTAATTGAGGTCATCCTGCATCTATCTGCAAGTTGTCGTCCTAAATAATCTTTGTGTCCCTTTTTTTTAAACTTGGAATGGAGAGAATAATTCTGCGTGTATTTGCAGGAATGCGGGCAAGGAAAGCTCTAAGGAACGTCTGGGTGGCTCAGTGCTCGATAAGATCCCCTTCCTGCATGGCTGTGAGGACGACGATGAAGACGACAGTGACGAGGACGATGACTTCCAAGGCATGGCCACCGACTGCATCGATGGACCGCGCAAGAACAAAAAGTCTCGTGTAAAGGTATGATCTGTGCATTAGAAATGAAATCCGGTAGATAATTGAAATGGAAACTACGGACTATAAACTTTATTCGTATCACGTGAGTGACATGAAGTTTCTCTGCTCTGCTCTTGTGTCCAGATGGGTTCGGAGCCCATGACCACAGACCTGGACCCCGAAGACGAGGAGGACGAAGACGACTCGGAAGATGCCCTCAGTGAATTTGACTTCCTGGGCTCAGGGGAGGATGGGGAGGGGGCGGGAGAGGCCCGGATCTCGGGGGACGGACGGGAGTTAGGTACGCTGTTGCCATAGCAACACCATCAGCACCAGCACTGCCAGAATCACTGCCACCAGTGTATCTGTCTTTTTTGCCCCCACTCCCCTCCCCCACTCCCTGCTCACCTTTTTATCTTTTACTTCTCATTGTGTCTTGGCATCTCTTCTTGTCAATAAAACCAACCTCTTTTCCCAACCACCTGTCTCTCTGTCCTGTTTCACGAGCTGTCAGTCTGTGACTCTTTACAGTTGTGTAGCTGTCATCTCTGTCTGTAGATGTACTCTCTGTGGTCCGGGGGTCATTTCAAAAGGTTATCACGCATGCTGCCTTCTCTTTTTATATGTCCACATTTCATTCTTTGAGTCATCTTTACACTGTATGCCTGTGCTTTTTATTGAGTTCATCCTCTCACAAAAAGAATCTTTCAAATTTGTGTGAGTGAATGTTATGTATTTAAAGAATGAAGTATATCGTTTTGCGTTTTTCATCTGTCTCTCATCTGTCTGTCTGTCGGCCACTCCGTCCTTCCTCCGCCTCTCTGCATGACTGGATGTTTTGTGTCTCTCTCCTCTTGCCGGGTTCAGAGAACCGCAGGAACAAGTTACAAGGCATGATGTCGGACTTCCCCCCTAAACCCACCCCGCCCCCCTCTGTATCGGGACAGGCTCGCTCCGGGGAAGGTAAGATTCCCCACCCAACATGCCCCATAGAAATCCACAGACTATCCTCAGTCTCCCATGTATCCCACACACGATTGTAGCTTTGACTTTGAATCTGAAATGATATGCTGTCATGTCTCAGTTTTGTTCAATGTTTAAACCTGCGTAGGGGTAAACTTGCAAAGTTGCTCTTATACCTATAAATACTTCCTCTGGTACACAGTGTGGGAGTAAGAAAACAGGATTAATGGAGTCTTGCCAAGGAATCAAAGATTTGTTGCCATATTTTTATATATATATATATACACACACATACTCATTGTCTCAGCTTGTATTGGGCCATGATGATCTTTCAAGACGCAGTAGACTCTTGTACTTTTCCACCTCCAACCTGCAGGCGGCGCCCTGGGTTTTTCCTCTGACGTCTTCATCATGGACGCCGTTGGAGGAGGTGACATGAACCTGGGCGAACTGGCTGATCTCACTGTTGCCAATGACAACGATCTCTCCATGGATGTAATTACCCATTTGCTCTGGTCAATATACAGGATGTAATCCAACCTGCACCTGCACGCTCAAAATATGTGAATGTTTTTTTTTTTTTATGTGTGTTCTCTCAGATGCAGGATAACCGAGAGGAGTTTAAGAAGACATGGAACCCTCGTTTCACACTACGCAGCCACTTTGATGCCATCCGCGCTTTGACCTTTCACCCCAGCCAAGCGGTGCTGCTCACAGCCGCTGAGGATGGAACACTAAAACTGTGGAACCTCAACAAGGCCATGCACTCTAAAAAGTAAGAACCCTTAGATCCACAGGCAGCTGAAATGAAAATTCGTTTATATAGCACTTTATGTGTAAAACTCACTCCAAAAGCCTTCCCAGCAGCAGTAGTAGATAGTTGTAGATAATGTAAAATTATGTGCAACTATCTACTAAAAGACATAAAACTAAGAAGCACATTTATAAGATTGTGTCCCTCCATAGGAATGCAGCGTTGGACGTTGAGCCCATCTACACGTTTAGAGCACACAGGTGAGTTGAGTCTGAGACGTGCACAAATATGAATTCGCACCTTGTGCACAAAGCTGTCGTGAACTGACACACACTGATTTGTTGATGCTCTATCTCGTTTTGTCCAGCGGAGCCGTTCTGTCACTGACCATGGGCGAGGATGGAGACTCTTGCTACAGCGGAGGTCTAGATGGAACTGTCAGATGTTGGAAGATGCCAGACCTCAACGTTGATCCTTATGATAATTATGGTTAGTCAACCTCAACTGCGGAGTATTTAGCAGTCACAGAGTAAAGTTTTCCTTACGTTTTCCTAAAATGTGCATTTACCCATCCAGATCCTGGCATCGAGAGCAGCGTACTAGCTGGCCACGAGGACAGTGTGTGGGGTCTAACTTACTCGGCAGTCCACCACCGCCTCGCCTCGTGCTCAGCTGATGGCACCATTCGCATCTGGGACCCTCAGAACTCAGCTCCCTGCCTGTCTGTCTTCAATAAGGAGAGAGGTAGACCATCTGTGTGTAGTATGTCTGTTTGCTTTTGAGCCTTGTGTCCATGTCGCGCAACTTCACAATCTCCTGTGTTTTCCCAGAGCATGGGACACCCACCTCAGTGGCCTTTGTGGCCACAGACCCCAACCAGGTGGTGGTGTCGTTTGACGGCGGTGAGACGCTGCTCTACGACCTCAACACAGAGCAGAGCACCACTGCGCTAGAGACACAGACCAAGGATGGTATGTTCTGGGTTTAACACCCAATTTGTAACAGTTGAATTTCCATTACTTTGTTCAAAGATAAGTTAAATACAAATAATTAGAAGAATAGATAAAACGGATTAAAATGGAGTTGTTTATCAACCTGTACAGGCAGTGAGCTGATCAACCGTGTGGTCAGTCACCCATCTGAGCCCGTATCCATCACTGCACATGAGAACCGCACCATCCGCTTTCTAGACAACAAGACAGGTATCTGCAAGAGGGGCTTTATTTTTCATCTATTAATTTCCTCTGTAGGTTTACATTTATTTCTGGATCTAAATAAGCTTGCTTTGTGTGTTTTGTACAGGAAAAGTTGTTCACTCAATGGTGGCTCACCTGGACGCAGTCACCTGTCTTACTACAGACCCTAAAGGCACTTACCTCATCTCTGGCAGTGAGTACAACTCAGCTGAACATCTTAGAATCTAAAATAAAGGCAAACTGTAAACTATGATCTTATTCCCTCTCTTCTGCATTAATATCATCCAACCCATCCAATTAATTGCTGTATTTTAACAACAAGGATATTTATACCGTAAAAGTACAACAGAATTGCTCTTCTACAGCAAACGGTAGATAAAATGAAATAAACAGAAGCAGTCTGTATAATCTGCAGTCTCCACTAAAATTAAGCTATAATGCATGCCTGGAGAAACTGCATTAAATCTAGCTTGTAAAACAATATCAGAGATTCCTTTACATTGTACTCCACAGTGATCTTTGCTCCTCATAACATTGTTGTGTTTGTTTGCTTGCACGCGCTCTCTGCCCCCTGCAGGCCACGACTGTTCTGTGCGCCTGTGGATGCTGGACAACAGGACGTGCGTGCAGGAGATCACGGCCCACAGGAAGAAGCACGACGAGGCCATTCATGACGTGGCCTTCCACCCTTCCCAGCCCTTCATTGCCAGTGCCGGCGCAGATGCACTTGCCAAGATCTTTGTCTGACAGCACTGTCGTCATTCTGGTGAGAACTCGCACACAGTGAGATGCAGACCGCTCAGAATTTGACAACCTGCTAAACCCTGCACATACTCTCCAATATAACATTCTTTATTACTCCAATATTAATCTCACAACGGCACTCCACGATTTTTATACATAAAGATCAGTTTATTTATCATATTAAGTACTTCTAAGCCTGAAGAAAGTTGTATATGTCTTCTGTGGCTCAGGAGGGAGCTTTCCACAGTCTGGGAAAATAACTTTAATAAAATGTATTATCATTATGGGGGATAATAAATGAAAGACTCATTTGGGTTGCATTGTGGGAATTGTAGAATCAAGTGCTTTTGAAGCTTGAGTCATATGACAAACTTACAGTCAGGTTACTTCGGCCTCTGCTGGTTCTCTTTTTATTATTTATTTTAAAAATCTGTCTTTTGCAAGTCCCTTAACTTTATGAAAGTGTAATACTAAATTGATTGCTGGATTACACTTTTAATCTTTCTACGGGTAAAAAGGTTTCATCAAATTTTTTTCTGCATTTTTAATCCAGTTTTAAATAACAGTTTTCAAAATACCCAAACCTCTTGAATTTCTTAATATATATGGATAGCCAAGTAAATCTACAGTTGAACTCAATATATCCCCCTTTAACAGAATTGTATTATTATAATCCACTGAGCTGCTGAAGTTTAAATTGGGTTTAAATTATCTAATTTGTAAATCTACTTTTTTGGATTTATGCAACTCTGAATTACCAACTGAGTATGTTTTTAATTACATGGGACCTAATATCTTTTGTCTTTTATGTTATTGTCATGGACACTGTTGGTCAAACTTTTTTTTAATCTTCTCTTCTGCCTTTAGAGTCCAACGAAAACAACTGGGCCAAAAGAGATGGAAGACTACAGTGGACAGATTTCACCTGCTTACACACACACACTTACACACACTTGTCCTGCACCCCACTGGCTGGGTCATTGCCACAGGACGTCACCTCCCCTCAGTCTCCCTCACTGTTCTCTGATGCCTCAGTGACTTCTTGTAATACTAACCACACTGCTTTTTTATAACTTTAAAAATTATGGCTGCTCTGTTTTCAAATAATCATGTTTGGAGTAACTCTTTTCTACACTACAATATTCTGTTCTGCTTTTTTTCAGTCTACCAACTATTACAAAGCATCATACTTGTGTGTGTGTGTGTGTGTTTGTGCGCTTGAACTTGCTGACACACTACTCACATTTCACGGAGTATGATCGAGGAAACACTCGCACTGCACAGCACGCACAAACACACCACCATATTTCATCTGAGATCGATTTTGATAGTTAACATATTGCTTGTGGCTAACATACATTATGTAGGCATGACTGAAAACAGTAACCTTTTCCCAGTGTCGGCAGAAAACACCTGACCAACCTCTTTATTGGGAATCAATGTATTACATTCCAAAGACTCCAGGTAGAGTGTGTGTGTGTGTGTGTGTGGTGTCGTATTTAAGGTTGGAGAATGTTAAACGTAGGTGTGTGTGTGTGTGTGTGTGTGAGTGTGTGATCTGAAGAGGCACTAGGCAGTTGCTAACCAGTGTTGAAACAAATAGCTTTAATTTCAACTTTACGGCCAAGACACCAAGTCTCATTGTTTGTCTGAGTATTAAAGCGTCCCTGTGATTCTGCCTCTACGTGTGTGTGTGTGTGTGTGTGTGCAAGAGTGTGAGTGAGATTAAATGTCACTCTGCTGAATTTTATTTCCACAACCATGACTCATTTCTACAGATGTACAGATTAAGCTCACACCACATTAAACAGCTACAGAATGGTTATCACGAGAGAGCAGTTCAAGGCCTTACACCACAGAGGGTGTGAGGCCGGTCTGTATGCTCTCAACAAATGATGCCGATTGTGTCATTTGGTGCTTTTTACTGTACAGAAGAGTGCGCACGCGTGTGTTTGTATACGCACTAGTTAAATCACGGTGCTATGAAAGACCTTGTCAGTCTTGAGTCAGAATCAGGGACCTGTTTTGTTTGTGTGTGTGTGTGTGTGTGTTTGTGTGTGAGAAGGAGAGACTGTGTTTCTCACTCATTGGGCTATAGATGTACGTAGTGAATCGACTTTTTAAATAACACTTCATCGTTGAATCATTTAATTAACTGTGGTCACATTTCAGAAATTAAGGGTCACTGTTCTTAGTAGAGGGTTGTGAATAATCTCGGCCTTGGGTCCTTTCAGGCGTGAGGAGTGTACAGAGCTGATGGTAATTATATTACATTGAGGATCACCTGGACTGAAAAAGTTTCCTCAGATGAGAGCTGCTCAGATCGTCTTTTTCATTTCATCTTCGAGTCGGTGCCAGTTTGCAGGTGGTGCTCGGGCTTCTGGCTTGTTGTTATTTATTCAGGCTTTCCCCCCAAAAAAGCTTGACAATTATGTTCACTTGTGTGTCGAGGTGAGGGTCCCTCTTCTTTGTTTGACACAGTAGCACATTACCCCGAGAGCTAATGGTGTGAAGCTGATCTCTTTCTGAAGAGGCAAGCTGGGAGAAATAGATTCAGGGTAGGAAAAAAAAAAAAAAGACGAAAGTCCATTTTAAATTCAGCCACTTTTATCATTTCAGAAAGAATAAGAGAGAGTATTGATTTAAGATGTGTGGGTGTCAGTTGATATTACACAGCACCTAATCTGTTTTGCCGATCTGTTGTTCTGCTATTTTTGAACATAACACTTGGCTTTGGTGAAAAAATTGTTCCTTTGAGAACACTTCACATCTCTATCTGTGTGTCCTGCGTTTATAGTGACACCTGCAGGACATGTTTGTTTCCTTTAGGTAAAATTTGCCCCTTAACAGCTGACCTGACTTCAAATTACTTGACTGTTCATTTTATTGTATTACCTTGAGGAGACTGATATGATCTGGTGTTCAATCAATTGGTCAAGGGGCACCCTCCTTCCTCTTCAAGATTACAGGGTCACACTAGGGGTCAGAGGTCAGATCTAAGGGTTCAAAGTAGCCTAGAGGTAAACACTCCTTTCCTAATCAATGGGGACACTAGCATTTGTAGTTCCAGTTTCTTTTTTCCTGAAACAGGGTGGTAGACTGTCTGTCTGAAATTAGACATAGAGAACAACCAGGTGCAACTTCATTATTGTACTGCTGCTGGCGTAACGTCCTGTTGTCTCATTAACTACTATTTGGCTCCACTTTGCACTACATCTAATAGTGGATGCTTTTGGTGATGAGCGGTTGCAAACAGGGTCCAGAAATAATGTTTTGCAGTTTATTTCTTATACAATCTGGAGTAAATACTACAAGGGTGGAACCTGCTGTGGCTCAGTTATTTGATAGTGAGCGTTGCTGATGCTTTCTTTTCACTCTTAGCTGCCGTGTACCAACTCTGAGAATAAAGACAAATCAGTATGACACATCAAAAAAGAAAAAGAAACTGAAACAGAGGTTGTAAATGATGACTAGAGATGCCATTATGTGCTGTAAATGTCCATCATTTTGTTGGTTTTTTTTCTTGCATTTCTTTTCTTTGATTATGAATATGATTATTAAGATGTAAGAATACTGTAGTATCATAAGTGAATCATTCTTCCTTGCTAGGCATAGAACTTGCTTGTGATTGATAATGGCAATGTATAACTTGTAAAAAAGCAAAATGATTAAAAAACATGAAAAATGAAGAAAATAAGTTTAAAAAAAAAAAAAATCTGTTACCAGTCAGAGGCCAAGGTAAAGGACTCTCATTTCTTTGTGTTTTTATTTTTTTATTAGCAATTTATCACTGTGTGATATTTTGTACATCATATTAAGCTGTATTCAAAATATTTCCTCTAACTACAAGGGATAAGAGACCTGCTTTTTATTAATTTTGTTTTATTATATATTTTTGAACTGCATTCTAGCTTGTATCAAATGACTTTCTCTTTTTGTTTACGGGTCCCCTGTTGTATGTCATTAAGGAAGAAAAAACAAAAAATGAAGATTTTGTACAGTGAATTGAGAGTTGTTTGTGTTGTCTTTCTTGCCTTCTAGTTAGGGATACAAAACAAAATTCAAACACAGCTGGACACCTGGGAGAATGATCCCTCCCTTTGTCTTAAAACACACTGTAGAAGTACTGTCATGGAACACTTTAGTTTTGCTAATTTTGCTAGTATTGGGAGACTTTCAAGAGACATTTTTTTTTTTTAAAGAGGAGCAGCAGAGTATTTGTCAAGTTCTAAAGACGCTAGATGCCTAAGTTCCCATAATACAACATGATGGCGTCTTTCATTAGACCGGTCAAGCTCAGAACCCCTAGCTTGCAACACAGGCTTTAAACTGATTTCCAAAAACAGATGAAAAACACATGCTTAAAGTGAATAAACCAACACCAGTCTTATTAATATCCCCTTGAGTGCAGATAAACTTATTCTCTTCAGACGAATGTGAAAACATTCTTCTGGTATCAAACTGCACAAATGTTGTTTCTGCACAGTGAAGCCTAAACATCCAAGTGAAATAATAAGTAAAACATTTGGTGAGTGGAGGGTGACTTATTTTGTCAAACTGTTTTAAGTTTCAAGAATGCACTTCCACACTCAACATCCAAGTCTTGATTCGTGAAATTAACAGAAGTCATGGGCACAGCCATCAAAAACACATTAACTGTCGGGCCAAACCAAAAATCATGGATTAACATATCCAACCTATCCGTGCTGCCCTGTGGCTGAAAGCACTTAAAAAATATGTTATCTATATTTTAGAGCCTTTTCTCCACTACATCATACATGATGTATAACATTTAAGCACTTAAATAAGTTAGATCTTATTTTTTGAGATTTTAAATAAATAATAATAAAAGAAAAATATTGCTTTATCTTTCAAGTATTTGATACATATTTAGCTTGGGTTTATCCCATATTATCATTTTTGGTGCATCTTGGGTGTTATGTTTCCCTATTAATGGAAAATACTTAGATCACCCAGCACCTGATTGTTTTACCTGTGGTTATATGTCTATTTGTAATATGAGTCAAAATCACCAGGTAAAATGGCAACAAACCAACCTACTTGGGAATTCATTGTTCAGTATCCATTTATACCAAACATTGCCCTCTTGTGGGGGAATGAAGAATCATAGCAAACATTATTTGCAGTTGCCGAGTTATGAGGTCTCTTGTCACATCAGCATTTCAGCTGAGTGCAGTTGCCTGTGATTAATTTGTTCTAATGAATTGGATTGATTGCATGATATAACGGCACTGGGAAGAAAGTAAGCTGAAGATGATGATGAACCTAATGTAGTTAGTGAGTTTCAGCATTACTGTTGAGGGACCAAAGGCAGAAAGTCACTGTTTTCATCTGCATGTAAAATAAGATAAGTGGTGCAAAGTCACAGTCATACTGACGATTGTGGTAACCCAGCCTCATTTCTAAACATACTGTTTATCCTGGTGCGTGCAAAAAAAACCACACTCACCATGAAAGTTCCCTGCAGGCAAATTTGCATGAAAACAACTCTGCAATAGGCGGGTTCCTATTCTGCAAGTCAGGCAAAGGTGTGTCTACTAAAAATGCAAAGAGAAAAAAGGTGTAACAGAGTAAAAAACCAAGGCAGGGAACAGCTAGTGTATTAAGCGGGAAGATGAGGAAGAGATGGGAGGGGTTTTTGAGCCGTGGAGCTGCCCCCTCAGGCAACGTAAGAGGATCTTTTGCTGGCCTCTGCTCAGGGAAGGAGCAAACGAGACGGATAACCCCAAACCAAGGAAGGGAGAGAAAGAGAGAGAGAGGAAAGGGAGGAGGGAGAAACCCTGGGAGTATGGAGTCAAAGGGGCGGGACTTTCTGAGAGTCTATTGGCTTCAGGCTGTGTCTGTCATTTCACTTCCTCCTTGGCTGTGGCAAAAGCACAGATAAGAGGGCAGGAGGGAGGGGGAGAGGGAGGTACCCTCAGACAGCTCTCTCTCTTTCTGTGTGTGTGTGTGCGTGTGTGTGTGTGTGTGTGTTTTTACAAAAAAGACTGAACTGGGCTGAAACTGAAAGACTTGTAAAAGCAGTGCAGTGTCTTGCTCTCCTTCATTCTCACAGTTTCCTGTTTAAGGAGGCCATTTTGTAACTCAGCCTAGGGGAAGAGCACAACAAAGTTTGGCATTGTTTTTTTTTTTTTTTTTCTCCCACGGGCCGGGAGTTTCACAGTCAACTTTGGACTTTCTCCTCTGCAGGAGCAACTCTGGACGAGAGAGCTGAAGGAGGGAAGAAGAAGGTGGAGGAGGGTTGTTTCCCCACCCTCAGTGTGTCTTTTTTTTTAAGAGCCTCTCACACACATTGCTCATGCTTGTCATGCCTGGACAATAACAGGAGTCTGCCACTGAAAGAGCGAGAAAGAAGTGGCTGAAAGGAGGGGAAAAAAACACCGCTTCCTGGATAAGGATTTCTTCCTTCATCCACTGGGAGGGGGTGGACACAGGACACAGAGAAAACCCTGGGACTTTGTGCTTAGTGTGTGCCCATGTGTCAGTGTGAGTACCCCTCTCTCCTCCAGTGAGACAGTTTGAATGACTGTGGGTTTTCTGAGAACTCTAGACTGCACCTGGGCGTGTGTTTGTGTAGTGTGTATGTTGAGAGCTTCAGGCAGCCGGCGGACGGGGACTCTGAATGGCTAACGCTAGCCCTTGTATGCCCTCCTCAGGGGCCATGGCCCAGGTCTTCTTTCCCCCTGGGGGCTCCTCACCACCCGGCTCAGCTGTGATGCAGCAGGGGACCCCTATATCTATGCCCTCTCTGCCCACTCAAGGTGGGTTTCCTGTGATGGACCTGACACTAGGGCAGGTTCCTGGTGGGGCTGTGCTGCCGGTGCTGCCCTCACTGCCTCCAACTCCAGCAGGGGTGTCCTTCATCATCCAGATTGGCCTGACCAGAGAATCTGTCCTGATGCCCCAGACTGCTGACCTGGCTTATGTGAAACAAATTGCCTGCTCCATTGTCGACACAAAGGTAGGAAATGTGTGCGTGTGTGTGTGTGTGTGTGTGTGAACTGAGGAGGTAAATCTCCATGTGAAAAGTGGTTCCTGTACAAAGTCCTATGCTACACTTTCAGATCAGTTTTGTCAGATGACCAGTTTGGGTTGTGCACTTGCTTTTCTTCCCTTTCACTCTTTGTTTTTGTGTCCCAGTCTACCACAAAAACCTTTGTTTACACTTGACTATTCTCATAAGTAAATAAAAGGAGTTAAACATGCAAGCAGACAAAGTGTTTGAACAGTGAGAGACTCTGTGCAAATGTACAAAATGTCACAACTTTGCTCCGCTCTAATTACAGCAATTAGCATTTTTCCCCTCACACAGTTGGGAGAGAACACTGTTCAGTTAGGCTTTGTCATGCCACATCTAGCACAGCAGACGGGCAGAGGGATGTTTGATGGTCTAATGGGGCAACATGAAACAACAGTTTAAACACAGGTCAACATCTAGAGCACTTTATTGCATTTCGCATTTATTAGTTTTAAAAACAAACATGTCTCAACGTGCAGTTAAACAAAAGAAAGTCGATATCCAGTTGTTGAGGAGCATCTTAACTTTTTTTTTGTAGAGGGATGTGAATTTACTATATATAATCTGAATATGCTTCCTCTATCTGTCAGAGTCCTCCATGACTTTGACCTTTCTTTGTGATGGTCAGAGTCTCTTTCATTTCTCCTCAGTGCAACATCAGAGGTTTTGCATTTCACTTAATGATCCCACTGTATTCAAATGTGGCATTCAGCATTCAGCAAATTTATTATTAAATAATAATTGCAATTGATTTTGGAACATTCGTAACAAGGCTATCATTCAAAAGATTTGCAAGGATCTCCGCTGTGTTTTACATCACTGGATCGCAGTTTAAAGCATAAGGAGTGTCGTGGTTTTCTGAGTCTGAGTCTTCAAACAAATGTATCTTCTTTATTAACCTGAAATAGAAAACTTCAAAACAAACGTGCAGAGTTGTGAAAAGCAAAGACAAGCAGTAACATCCTCTTTGTAGCAGGAAGCAATGGGTGTCATGGGAAATGTGGTCTTTATTTGAGAACCGACAGCACTAATTTATTCAACAATACAAAGCAGCACATTTTCACAGTGACCATTTCTACTATATAGGCCTGTAATAGAACACACAGGAGATAATCCTACATTGGTGTGGTAGTTTGATCAGCCCATGTGTTTTTAACTGCCAATTAGACTGGTAGATGATTAGATTAGCACATTTCCACAGCCTGCTCAGAGCAGCTTTGTAAAACTCCCCACAATCACAAATATTCCAGGAAATACTTGTAACTCTCTCCAACCAGCTTACCCACTCTGATAATCTGTTTTTGTGAACAACGGTCTTTGTTTTCTCCTCTCATATGAGTGGTTCTCTGTCATGTACTTGGTGTAATTTAGTGAGATAAATCTGATGATCTCTGCTACATACCTCTGCTCCAAACCGTGTTTTCCATATGATGGGAACAGATATGGTTGGAACAAGTACGAGGTGTCGCTTACCTTCATCACAATGTATACAGCGACTGCATGTCTCAGCCTGTGCAGTTCACTCGTGGCCTTTTCTTCCTCTTTTTTGTGTTTTCTCTGACAAACCAAAACTGCTTGCCTCTGTAATGTAAGAGAGGTTGTTGTTGTTTGTTTGTCTTTATGCCTTTATTTTCCTTTGCCTTGGTTTTCCAAAGCTGTCATGAAATTTAAAAGTTTCTTTTCAAGTGATGTGCCCTTAAAAAAGCACCACACAACATTCAACAACACCTGCAGATGCTTCACAGTAAAAGACACCTCAGAGGACATAATCATATGGCAATCATTTTCTGTATAAATCAAGTGCATGGATTCACATTTTTGTTGTGCATTGGAATCACATGGGACCGAGACACAGCTGGAAAAGCTAATAAAAGACATGTGACAAGGGGACACTGCTGCTGGAAGGCTTTTTGTTGTACGCCATGATCAACCAGCAAGGGCTAAGGTGCTTTTATATTTATTTTGA